GGAATTTCCTTAGACAAATAAAATAAACTATCTATCTAGTTATTATAGTTACAACAAGAACCCCATTCATTCATTCACAACCATTCATTCATTCACCCCATTCATTCCCTCCAACAGAAAATTCATCAAACTATTTCCTCCCCTCCCTCGCCTTTTAGACTATATAGGGTTTCACCGTGGCACGAGAAAGGGCAGAGGATTAATGCCAGATTCAAAAGCCACCCTGGGACCGCGACGCGAACTCGTAATTATTTTATACTGTCGATTTAAGTTCAGCAGGTTGCTGGGTTTGCACACGCGTTTTATAATATAAACCTCTCCGCTCGGTCACCAACCCTCAGGTTTATGAAATCCACTTAATGACTTTTTGCAATAAATCTACGATATTAATATTAATTTTATTTAGTTTTTTTATTGTTTGTGCAATTTTTTTTCTTCCGTTATTGTATAATTTGTTATTAGAAAGTATGAATTAAGTTAGGAAGAGAGAGGGCAAAATATAACAAGGAATAAGCGAAAAGAAGAGAAAGAAAGGGAAATGGAATGTTAATAAAACAAATATTAAAAAATAATGTTTACAATGCTCATATATATATATTGATGATATTTGTATATTACTTTTAAGAATTTTCCATTGTATTGATTGATAATGATGTTGTGTCTGTAGCAAACCAATATAATTCGCTAGCATCCTTTTATGAAAATGAAGTCATTCCCTCTCTTTTCTTTTCTACTTTGTCTTTTCGGTTATACCGGATTTTTCGGAGGGGAATCGATGAAGATCTGTTACGATTGGTTATTTCTTGTATCGAAGGCTTTGCAGAGGATATTGTTTTAAATTAATATAATTAATAACAGATCCGAAATTTAACATCGCATTAGAAGTTTAGCAGCGACAAAGGCAACAAGTTTTCGAAAAGAGAAATGAAAGTGGAATGTCTACCGATAAAACTGATAGTGACTTTCTCTGGCTCAAGGGCGAGCCACCGTCCGGTTTTTTTTTTCTTTTCTTTTTTTCACTTCCTTTTAGACCGTACAGACCCATTTTTTATCAAATTATTAACATCCGCCTGAAACTTCGTAAATAGCTTCATCTCATCCACCGGCAGATCTACGGGGGGAGAAGAGGGGGCTTTCAGGCTGAAGCCCCCCTCCCCTCCCAAAATAGTAAAATATAATTATGTTTTGTGGAAAAATTATATCTTAAAGTATTATTGTTCGTGTAATTAAATTTATGAGGACTTAAGGAATCACTTAAACACCATTTCATATAGATAGTTAGTTTCTTTCTTTTTTTCCAAAGTAATTATCGTAATTTTTATGAAACAAAAAGCTTTCGGGCTGAAGCCCCCCCCCAAAAAAAAAAAATTAAATCCTGGATCCGCTAGTGATCTCATCGTAACCTACAAATATTTTATTTACGAAAATTCTCGGAAGTCGTTATCAATTTGGAGATCGTGAAACTCGTCACCAAAAACTCGCATTTCTTTTCGACTACATTGTATTTTTTTTTTTTTTTTTTTTTTAGAGGAACGTAACATTTTTTTCAATTTGAAGGTTGGCAAACTTTTCCTATTGAATTAGGTATTTTACGGTTTGGCCTATATAACCTTGTTATTTTGACATTTTTTTCTTAATTTTGTGATCAAATTGTATTACGATCCAAGTAGAAATGAAATGGGTATATACGAGTTTTTAGTACCTAATTAAATAGTTAACGTTTGCCGACCTCCAGATTAAAAATGTCCCAATTCCGTAAATAAAATAGTTGTAGGTTAAGATGAGATGAAGCTATTCACGAAGTTTCAGGTGGATGTTAATAATTTGATAAAAATGGGTCTGTACCACGGATAAGTTTTTACGGAATAATATAAAAAAATCTTGGAAAACGTAAAAATGCCAAAATAGGATATTGTACCATGATAACAATGTAACATGAGAATTTTACTAAAATTAAGAAAGCGGTGAACGCTTATTACTTTTCAATTATAAATTCATTAGCTTTCCAGTAAATATAAAAATAAAATTTTACAAAAGAATCACACATATTAACATGGCCGCTTATTTTGGGGGATGAACAACATCTTAATTTTTTTTGAAAATGAAATCCGAAGAATAATGAGTCAACAGGAGAATTACACGGTTACACAAGACCGCATTGCATGAAATAATTCAAAATCATTGCATCGTGGCGAATAAAACCAGAACGTAAAATTGTGGGGCTTAGTAAAGAAATAATTCATAAAAGGTTAATACTTGGTGTGCCGACTGGCAAGAAACCGAGGGGTAGACGGAAGCGAAGATGGGAATATTGCGTTAAGTCTGATCTGGGTTTGACTGGAGCACAGTGGTTGAAAATCGAACCGTTTTTTCAAAAAAAAAAATCTGGAAATTCTGATCTACAAATCGCAGAATAGTTTTAATACCATCATAATCACAACTAAATTTTCTATAAAATATCTATAGTAGAACCCCGTTTAACCGGCTCTCCGGATTAAGCGGAGTTAAAAGAAATGAATCAATTTTTTTTCACTCAGAATAAGATAGCTTCAGCTAATTAAATTATTGAAAAAATGAGATAGTTGTTTCTATTACAACCAATCTTGACCTTTGAACTTATATTAAGAGAATTAGTGGTGTAGCAAGCTAATAAAGAGAAAATTAACAGGGTAACAAATAGTGAAAATCTTGCTATAGAAATCAAAGCAGAAATTTAAGACTAAAATAGATTAAATTTAAAAGCCAATCATTAAAATATATCCTTAAAAGGAATTATATATCCTGGGATATAGGATACAGGAATATAGGAAATATATCCTGCAATAGGAATTAGGGTATTCGCGACTGTCTGCCTGAAAAACAACTATGAACAATAATAAAATACAGTTTTTCGTCATAATTACGAACAAAATATAATAACAAATAAATACCTAGGGGAAAGAAATTTCTTCTCAAATACAATTCCGATTGCCCGCACGTAATTGGCGAAAGTTCTTCTATTCTATTCCAATCGGAATCGTCTGGATATTTTACAAAAACGTTGATAGAAGGATAGACAGGTGAGAAAGTCTACCTGTAATATTAGACAATTATATGTATCAAAAAACATCTTTTCATTACATATCACATCTCAATTTGTTCAACGAACTATAATAACTAATTGCGTGGTATATCACCAAAGGATGATAATTACATAATAAAAAAAAAACACTTTATCACTATAATTCATGAAGAATCATAGATTCAGTACTTTGTTAGGAAGTTTCAATGCTAATGGTTGTGTGCAGGGAGGAAATTGGACCAGTATCACGCTTCACCCACATGTTTTCTATACAAATTAATTAATGATTTAATTTATAGTATCCACTTTATAGAAGCTGAGTGTGTCACAGAGGGGTCCTTCGGTCTCAGAGTCGATCTAGAGCTAATGAAAAATTATCAGTCATTAGCCGGATTCGAACCCGAGATCTTGACCTCAGGAAGTCAGTGCTTACCCACTGAACTGCTCCAGCCCCTATCACTATATCTATGAGTATACATTCAGCGGAACTCAGAGGAGTCATCGATGGTTCAATCGATGTATAAAGAACCATGGTTAATTAAATTTATATTATATACTATTTATTTATTATTATTTTAGTTTTTTTCTCTTCAAATAATAATCCCCCCCTCCGATCGTGAATTCGGCAACAAATTGATGTGGGAGAATACCCAGTAAAACCTCTTCCTAGTTTTTAGGAAAACAGATCTCTCATCCAGCCTCTTTTTCAGTGTTTTTTTTTTTAATTTAATTCTATATTTGTTTATTACTTTCCTACCTATACTAGGTAAGGAAAGTACTGCAATCGGGTCAAATTTCCGACATGCGGTTTTCGACGGATCTATACATTTCAGAGCCCCATGAGTCCGAAAAACACATTTTTAGCCATTGGTCTGTCTGTCTGTGCCAAGATATTCTCGGGAACTACTGAACCGATTTTGTTGCTTCTATTTTTAATTTGTAGGGTTTTGACTACTGATGCCTGTGACAGAAATTCGGTGCTCCATGCGCAATAGCTTGCGCGCAATAAATGAAAAACATGGTTTTCTATAGACTGTAGCACAAAAACGGCTTTAACTATTTTGATGAAACTTTCCTATAATGTTCTAATCATTGTTCTTTCAATTTTCGAAAATAGACTAAATTTCAGAAAAAAATACAGGTAAAAAGTTATAAAGAAAAGAAAAATGTTATTGGGCCTAACTCCCTAGTATATATTATACGATAAAATTTATAATAATACTTTTGAAAGGTAATTAAATCACCAACAAAACAAAAAAAAATCATCGGCATCGAACAAGTATTAGCGATGATACAGCTTATTCTATTTTTTACACATTTTTTAACTTATTACTTTCCTACCTAACACGCAATCGGGTCAAATTTCCGACATGCGGTTTTCGACGCATCACCCAAGCTTCACTATTTCCTCTACTTTTAACAGAAATTATTGTTTGACAATACTAAGCTATGGCAAAAAGTTTTTGATCAGCAATATTAGTAAGTAATGAAATTTTTACAATGATCTACCTTAAGGCGGTTTACATTGCTTTAGTTTATCAAATAAATCGTACTCAAATCTTTTCTTTGATCAATTTTCAGGAAAATCTATTTCAATTCTTTTTTGTTTCTTCATGAACATATGTAAAGATATAAAAACTTTTCTGAAATAGGTAGGAAAGTCGTGTGAGTGGACACACCAGATAACTTTTTTTTTTTAATTTTATTCATTTATTTATATTTATTCTCTCACGCTTATAGACTTAATACTAGTTGCCCTAAAATGAGGCAGATGATATTATTATTCAATAAACTTGTTATAATTTCAAAATTACATTCATAGTTCTATTGATGCGTTCAGGAACGGCCTCGTGGATAGATGAGCTCAGCGCCGGATTTAGAAACTTAGTCATCTCTTAATCAGATGTAATTAGAGATATCTATGAAACAGACTCGTATCTTAACGGGAATGAAACCTCGACTGGCACAAAAATGTTTCATGTTTCGAATTCATTTTCTGTTTGTTTGTTTTTTTTCCCTCGGTTTGAAGAAAGACAAGTTGTGAAAACAGAAGGAGAACTCGTTGCTCGGTAAAGTCGTCCCTCGCTTTATAAGGAAGAGAATGATTCAATGATGTGAAATAGAAAATGTACCTCCATATTTGAAGAGATCTCTCCAGGGAAGACTCCGAGTGAAAACGGCATAACTCATCGGCTCCAGCGCAACTCCCAGCACAGGTACCGTTCTCTTCTCCTGGAACCACTTTCTCACGGATCTTAAGGCGGCTCTCCAGTCTCACACCTCTGCTCTCCCTACGTTTTATATAATTTATTATCTAATAATATTTAATATTATATTATAATAATTAAGGATACTTAATGGCAAACGAATCAGAAGAAGTTAACAGAAGGTCTCTAACACTAGCGGATCCAGGATTTAATTTTGGGGGGCTTCAGCCCGAAACCTTTTTTTTCATAAAAATAACGATAATTACTTTGGAAAAACAAAAAGAAACTAACTACCTATATGAAATGGTGTTTAAGTTATTCCTTAAGTACTTTTAAATGTAATTACACAAACAATAATACTTTAAGAGGTATTTTTTAATTTTCTTTTCCCATAAAACATGGTTATATTTTTCCATTTTGGGGGGAGGGCTTCAGCCCGAAAGCCCCCCCCCCCGTAGATCCGCCCGTGGTCTCTAACAAAAAATATCTGGTGTGTCCACTCACACGACTTTCCTACCTGTTTCAGAAAAGCTTTTATATCTTTACATATGTTCATCAAGAAACAGAAAAGAATTGAACTAGATACATTTTACTGAAAATTGATCAAGCATGAGATTTGAGTACGATTTATTTGATAAACTAAAGCAATGTGAACCGGCTTAAGGTAGATCAGTGTAAAAATTCCAATACCCTCTAATATTGCTGATCAATAACTTTTTGCCACAGCTTAGTATTGTCAAACAATAATTTCTGTTAAAAGAAGAGGAAATACTGAAGATTGTGTGATGAAGGCAACAGATTTTCTTACTTTCACTTAGTCATCTTTATTCTCTCATTCACCCCTTTCTGAAACCATGATATGAAACCGTAATCTTACATTTGAAATTGAATAGCTGTAACTTCGTTAATAGTTGTCCAAAATGAACGATTTTTATATGGCTTTGTAGGGACAGACAGACAGACAGACCAATGGCTAAAAATGTGTTTTTCGGACTCAGGGTGCTCTGAAACGTATAGATCCGTCGAAAAGCGCATGTCGGAAATTTGACCCGATTGCAATACTTTCCTTACCTAGTATAGGCAGGAAAGTAAAAATTCATGTGTGTGCTTTAGATCACACGATAGAACTGAAAACATCAACAAGGAGAGATTAATAATATGAAATATAAATTATAAATAATAGCTCGTTGTAAAAAGGATGAAATACTGAACTAAAGCAATGTGAACCAGCTTAAGGTAGATCAGTGTAAAGATTTCAAACATTGTTGATCAAAGTCTCACCCAATCAGTGTGAGAGATTGTTATGGCCCTAAATGTGTGGGGTAATTTAATTGTCTCCAAGCTGCAGGTGCTGTGCACACACGTTAGCCCGTTCGGCCACCCCACTCCCCCGTGGCTGCCGATATACTAACATAACATCAATATGATAAAATTTAATAAAATATTTATATTTTACAAATTAAGATAATGGTTGTTGTTACAGGCTCCACCCGAGCATGGCGAGCGCTGTGAGCGGTCACTTGGACGATGTCATGGCGGCCATCAAGAAAGGAGATTGCTCGGTCTTCAAGTGTCCCAGCGGGAGGTGAGCAGGACTCCAGGACTCCTTGTTCCTCGCAGGACATCTTCATCCTTGTACATAGCGCCAATCAGATGTAATTAGTTCACCAGACGGGTCTCGGAGCCGTCCGCTCCAGTGTAAATAGATGTAATCATGTAATTTATGTTAATTTTTAAATCCCCTTGTATATTGTAGCCTAATGTTATTTTTATTTAATAATTGTAACGCTACTATTTTAACATGTAATTAATTTTAATAATAAAACTATTTATAACATTATTTATTTTCTTATACGCCTCTGACCTATGATAGATCCTTTTTGAACCCAAACTATGAAGATATTAATAAAAACGCTGCAAATTACTTCACAATGGTTTATTATTTCCAAACAATTATACATCTAAGTAACATTACCTTCCTAGTGACAAAGAAAAATAAATAAAAGGTGATTCCAATTATTGGACTAAAAAAATTAGCATTACTTCAGTAACACATTCAAAAATCAAAAACCAAAACAAAGGATATAATCTTTGCTGTATCACATATAAAAACATTTAGATACCATATCTTTGCTTCTGATTGTCCGATTTTTTTATGTTATAGGAAATTCCGTAAAATTTTAAATAACCATATACAATATGGAGAAAAAAGTGAATACTTTTGAGTTATTTGGAATCTAACCACCCAAACTAAAAATATTTAAAAATCGTAATATATTTACTAATAGTGCTTTGATTTTGTTTTATACGAACGTATATATAAATGAAACGTTCTGAATGAAACGAGGAAATTTTAATATCTTTGAAATGTCTTATCACAATACGAACAAAAAAGTGAATACTTTTGAGTTATTTGGAATCTAACCACCCAAACTAAAAATATTTAAAAATCGTAATATATTTACTAATAGTGCTTTGATTTTGTTTTATACGAACGTATATATAAATGAAACGTTCTGAATGAAACGAGGAAATATAAATATCTTTGAAATGTCTTATCACAATACGAACAAAAAAGTGTATACCTTTTGAGTTATTCGGAATCTAACCACCCTAACCAAAAATATTTTAAAATCGTAATATCTTTACCAATAGTCCTTTGATTTCGATAAAAAGTTTTTCTTTTTTTAGGAAATTTAAATATCTTTGAAACATCTTATCACAATATGAACAAAAAAGTGTATATTTTTTGAGTTATCCGGAATCTAACTTTACCATCCCTCATATCTTTTTTCAGCTTCTTTTCATTGAAGTATGTTATATAAATAAATTTAAAGAGCATTGAGAAGAAGACTTTAGCTAAGGTTTATTGAAATCGGTACATTCGTTTAGGCGCTACAGTCTATAGCAACGCCATAATAAAACCATATTTATTCGTTTTTCGAATAAATTCTACGGACCCTGAAACGTAAAACCTCCAATTTTACTAATATTGGCTTGATTGGCTTAAGGAAAAGGAGTGCCCAGTGGCATCCGTTCTTGACTTAGGTGAGGAAATCCCTCATCCAGTTTCTTTTGAGTCTTGTATCAGTGTGTTAGTATGTCCGTGTAATTATTGTGAAATTTTTTGTAGTGGGTCCATATGTGGTCGTTAACTGTTGGAATGTTTAGATCTTTATGTAAAGTAATGTTTGTGATGTACCATAGAGTTAAGTAATAGTTCTCAAATGTTTTTAATTTCCGTATGTTGGTTATTTGGCTGTTCTTTATAAAAATGATATATTTAAAATAGGCTAAAATAAGGCCAGAAAATTGGGGCACGAAGTCCATTTAAATAAAATATGATAGAATTTAGTTGATAAACAATATGTTTTTTGTTTTTTTTTGGTCTATCAAAAATATATTTGCGCTGGTCAACTTATTGTTGACAATCAGCAAATGTGATGGCGATGCATGATATAATGACATGACAGGCATATTGAAGGAAAGTACTCAGCAGTACCTCTTCCCTAACTTGTTCCAAATACTTAGGTTGTCTAAGGAAGGAGATCCCTCATCCAACGCCTTTTTAGTCTCCTCCTCATGTTCTGAGGTATGTCTGCTGTGGCCATGTCTCTTATTAGTCTGCTATTATGTCCATTTAAATTTGTGTAGAATCGTTGATAAAGGGACGTTATATGTTGGTCAACTGTTGGAAGGTTGAGATCAGTATGTAAAGTTTTGTTAGTCACGTACCAAGGTGATTTTATTATGAGTCGCAATAATTTTGATTGGAACGTTTGAAGTTTTTGTAGGTGGGTCTTTTTAGCGATACCGTATATTTGTGATGAGTACGTCCATATGGGCTTAAGTAAGTATGTATATGTATTCAGTTTCTGTTTTAGTTTTAGTTTTGAAGATTTAGAAAAAAGAGAGTAAAGTAGTTTGAGTCGTTTGTTAAGTGTCTTACGTTTCATTTTAACATGCGGACCCCATGTCATCCTTCAGTCGAAGGTGAGTCCAAAACAATACGTTAATTAGAAATTTTATAGCTTCAATATTTTTGGGATATAAAAGGATTTTGTTTATTAATTATTGACTAGTCAGCCATTTCGAAAATTTTGGTCAGTGAACAAATGACAAAATAATAAGGAAGTTAAATAATTCAACGTATCATGAGATGAAGGGATCATTTTCTATTTTTTCGGCAATTATAATCAACCATGGAAAATAAAACTGTTATTAAACTTCATTCCTGTTTTAAACCAAAAAACATAGGAATTCTGATAACCTTTAATGGTCCGAATTAGAATTTATTTTGTAAGTGACAGCATCTTTAGGCGAGTTTTGCACCTTTTTTTGGTGAGTGAATAAGATCGATACATCAGATTTTAACGCTCGGGTAAAGTCGGCTATAGTCGACTAATTGAAATGTTTTTATATATGGTTTAAAATATCTCAGAAACTAAAATCGAAATGCATACTCTATGTGAGGAGATTGTTCAGTATTTCATCATCTCTGAAATAGGCTATAATTCAAAATTGTATCTTAACGCGACGCCGTGTTAGGGAGCCGAAAAGGAAAAAATAGTGTCGAAAACTGAATGATAACGAGATTAGTTGACCATATAGGGGACCCTACACGGTCAATCGGAATTGCACTAATGACGTTCCGAATTGTCGTGTAAGGTAGTGAATGAAGTACTGATGGTGGTGCGCTGCGGATTTCCGAACATCAGGAAATCAAAGGTTCATTCAGGAGAAGTGGAGGGGGGGCTGAGGTAAAAGTAGTGGGGGGGCTAACCATACTGCTGGATAGGTTAGGTTACCTAGGCCTCACGACCATTATAAATTTCTGATTTTCATTATATGTAAATAGTTAAATAATTTTTCATATCCCTTGTTTATAATTTTAAACCATCTTCAACTATTTCTTTTAAATAGTCAAGTGGGCAACAAATTTAAAAAAAATGACGAAACTTCACAATTTACTTTAGGAAAAAATAACTTTAACCTTATGTATATTTATCAGTTCTTTTCCCATTTTCCTCAACAAATTTATTATTTTCGCAATACCTTTTCTTAATATTTGTAAGTAGTAGACTTATATTTTAGTAACTTTTGTCAATACGATTTTCTATGAGACTAACCTTACTACTAGATAGGTTAGTTTACCTAGGTCTCGTTATTAAGTAAATAATTTCATAAAAGTAAATAGTTGTTTATATCCCTATTCTATATTATTATTAACCATTTTCAACTATTTTTTCTTTAAATAGTCAAGTAGGCAATAAATTGGAGAGAAAAAAATTGGAAACTTCACATCAGTAATGATTGAACGTGTAAGGGTCTTCATGATCAAAGCGATAGCGGGCAATCTTGGAACTTCTTGTGACGTTCATTCATGAATTACCGTGTAGGGTCTGCTTATGGATTAAAATATTTCAGATACTAAAAATCGGATCTATATATTGTAACTGAGAGAAATATTCAGGAACTCATCTTCTTTGTAATGAGCTATTATTCAAAATTTTATCTTAACCCAACATCGTGTTAGAGAATAGGAGAGGGAAAAAGATAGTGTCCAAAACCAAATGCTAACGACTTTATGCTAATATATAGTACAAATGCTAACATTTGCAACATTTAAATTTTATTTTTACAACATTATTAACAATATATAACACATATGAAGACAATTAATATAAATTATAATAATAGCAGAAATTCTCAGGCATAATGGAAAATATATAATAATATAATTATTATTATAATTGGTAATTGGTTGACTGTCGTGGATAATGAAGAGAAGAATAGTTGGGGTGGTCAGTCAAAAAGGAAGGCAAAAGTAAATGATAATATTAATTTTTTACATATGCCGACGTTTCGACCTGAAGTTCAGGCCTTCATCAGGGCTAAGAAAATAACCAATATCTCACATTACAATTACAATATCTCAATTTTCTATCTAACTACTCCATTCTCAATGTTTTAATTTTACTATTTATTTTCATTTCTTATATAACTTCATATTTCTTTTTTATGTTTTACATTTTATTCTAAGATTCACGTTGTAGCACTTATGTCACCTTTTTTGATTATGCCTACTTCATCATTCCACACTTTGTAACGGTTATTATTATTTATCTCTTAGTTCTTAGTCATTATTCTAACAATTTCATTTTACTTTATATTTATTTATTTTATTTTTCATATTTTTTTATTTTTGTTATTTTTTTTACCATCACTACTTATTTTTCTCATACCTTGTTATCTGGTTATTTTCTTAGCCCTGATGAAGGCCTGAACTTCAGGTCGAAACGTCGGCATATGTAAAAATAAATATTATCATTTATTTTTGCCTTCCTTTTTGACTGACCACCCCAACTATTCTTCTCTTCATTAATTATTATTATATATTACATAACCTTCCAACTGGGGATTTCCACATAAATATTATACAGTCGTTTGATACAACATAAACTAGTAAATATCACTAATTTAAATAAGTAAATTATAAATTATTAAGGACATTTTTAGATTGGTATTACTTTGATGTCTATATTTTATGCAACAGAACTTTGTTATTAACATTAAAAATTTCTTTTTAAACGAAATTAAACTAATTAACCCACACTGAAATACATATAGAATACATGGATTATTAAAGTTAAATAAAAGTGGCGCTCCACTTAGTCCTATCATCAGTAACAACAAAGGGGAAACTGAAAAATTTGGATAATAGAATAGAAAAATTAAACATTATTCTGGGACTAAGTCCCTTTAGAATAACATCTGGCCAAAAACTAACTTCTAAAAATTTTAATAATATATACATTATTTAAAAAGTATGTAAC